AACAAAAAAAAGTTAGATTTTTCAAACTTCGATGCCAACTTCACATAGCTGTCGAAGATGCCGGATAAAATTGGTCATTAAGGAAGGTCGTCGGCCTTGCCAAAGACTCTTCGATTCACGCACGTAATCATGGCAAAATCTATGGACTGTTGACTGGTAATACCTGTCTCACATATATCTCTTATCTCCCTCACTCCTTTTATTCAGCATCTTTCGCAAGATACTCTCTCTTTGATATAAATCCCCCAGTGTTGGAGTTTAAATGAAGGAAAGTCGGGACATGAAGTTTGAGCATCGCGAGATGCAAGAAGAAACACCGTGTATGTATATTCAGAAAAGAACAGAGGGAGGGTTATCGATGATGCCATGGGGAGAGCCTGAGGCTGCTCCACCGTCTTTACTTCCCTTTTATCCCAGCAAAGAGGAGTCAGGCAAAGGCGAGACTTATGCCCGTTGGGTAAAAAAAAAAACCTATGAAGTCAAGAAAAATATTCTCTTTCACGGGAGATCTATTGAGTCTCTCTTTTTTCATTGTACCCCGCAATGAGACCGAGCCGAGTTTCTTGAAACACCGGGAAATTAACGAATCCGAGAGTTGCAGTTGTTCCGGAATTTCTTTGAGATAAGTTTAGGTGGAAGTTTAGGTGGCTCTGGGTAACCGAGCGAATTGGAAAATAAAATTGAAATGGCAGGGCGGTGAAAAATTTCATCACTCGCTGGTAAAAATCTTGATGCGACACTTTTGAACTGACACTCAGTGGTTTTGGTTTATATACCCGTGAGTGCGGTGGCAATTGTATCGTTGTTTTCCAGTTCTCTGGGGTGGTTTCAGAAACCGCGGACTGAGGGGCGAGGACGAGTGAAAGAGGGAAACGAACACGGGAAACAAGGGGGAAAGGTAAATAGAGGGATGATGACGGGGCAGAGAAGGGTGTTGCTCTCGCTCGATACGTATTGTCTACCCTGTCTGGTGTAGGCTCTTCACATCTACCATTTTACCGAGCTGCTTCCGCTTCTCCACCCTCTCTGCCCCACAGGTACGCAGATAGGTACGTGAAAAAATCAGGATAAATGGATGGAGACAGGTGTATTGTTTAAGTTTTCCTACTTTTATTTTGTTTAGTTTTTTTTTTGTACTCTCAAATTTCTCTACCTTTTCCGGGGATTGAAATAATGTGATGCTCAGAGGAAAGAACCTTTCAATTATAAAAACCGTGGAAATTTTCGTTTTCATTTGCACGGGGTAACTCTTGTAATATGAAAGGCATATCAATCCGTTTAAAATAGAGATTGATATGTATTTTTGCAGTTTTATAAAATCCTGAACAAATATTCAACAAAAATGCTCTGAATTATTGATTCCCCATGATTACAATGCTCTCGTTCCTCCCCCTTGCAAATTGCGTGAAAGACTTTATCCCTAAGAAACTTAAAATTACTTCTATCCCGTGAATTTCTAGGGTCTGGGAAAATTATTTCGGGTATTCCAACTCGTAAAGTGAGGACCTCGCCCTGTTACTTGGACGAACTCTCGCTCCTCGTTGCTTTAGTATCGTCTTTATCCCCGTATAAACTTCACTCCTTATTCTACTGCCTTTTTTAACGCATTTTTTTCCTTTGCCGTCGATTAGTCAAGTCAAAAAGTGGAAACGAGACGATCGTCTGGAGAATTGAGAAACAGAGGGTTAGCCTCATCGCAATATCGACATTACCTCAACTTCTTGAAATGACTCACACACTGACATGTCGGTCTATTTCCAGTGCTGTTATAATTTTAATTCATTCTCTCTCCGTTTGGTGTTATATTTCATGGATTGCCTTCTCTCTCACCATTGGCCAGGCAAATTGTACGATTATCCGGCCTCGTGTTGAGAGTCGCACCCATGGCAAAAGAGAGGAAGTTCCGGTCTACGCCCTCTTCCATGCAAGCCCAAAATAAATCGAACTGACGATAATAAAAAATAAAAATGTGTCTAAAAGGGAGGGTGAAAATGAAGAGAGAGAGAGCGGGAGGAACAGCATGAAAATGCCAGTCTGTTTCTCATCCGCTCCAAATGTCCATAATTTTTTTTTTTGTGTTAGTTTTATTCCCCTACGCTTTAGTAAAAATGATTGGACCAAAACAACCGACACTGGTTCCTAACGAGCTGTTTATAA